GATAGATAGATAGACAGACAGACAGACAGACAGACACACAGACCTATCTATCTATCTATCTATCTATCTATCTATCTATCTATCTATCTATCTATCTATCTATCTATCAATCAACAGGTAGAGCATCTAAAAGAGATCATGAGATAGTTCATAATTCAAGGACATCAAACCAACCCCAAACTAATTAGGAAAAGGATCCAGCACAAAGTGTTTTAACATTTTAAAACATTTGGAGCCTGTTTCTTTCTGTACGTCACAGTGAGCCAACAACAAAGCAAACATAATAAAATAATGTCACAAATGTAATAAAAAGGGATATAAAGTAATTAAGCACCCAAAAGGAAGACCACCTGAATTTAAGAACATTCTACTTGAAAAAGAAAAGTTAGACAGAAAAAAAGTGTTCTTCCTCCATTACAGGATTCTCAGCAAATTTAAGACAATTTTCTCACTTAAACAAGTCAATAGTTTAAGGCAGCGGTTGTCAAATATTTTGGTCTCAGGATCCCTTTACTTTCTTAACAATAATTGAGGACCCCCAAGAGCTTTGGTTTATGTGGGTTCCATATAATCCATTATGTGGGTTCCGTATCCATATTTACTGTTTTAGAAATTAAAACTGAGAAATTTTAAAATATTTATTCATTTGACTTTGCAGACCCCCTGAAAGGGTCTTGGTCCCCAGACCACACTTTGAGAATCACGGTGTAAGGGAAATATTTAGTCCCCCTTTTAGTGTAACAAAACAAAACAAAACCAAAAAACCTTAAACAATAACTACAGCATCCAGAAGCTCACAGAGAAGACAACCCATAGGAGCAGAATAGAACATAGCAGAAGCATCTGAAAGGAGGGGGTCAAAAAAAGTCAATATATTGGCCATGACCGCATGATTGAACCCACCCCCCCTTTTTTTTTTTTACATTTCTCCCATATGTGAAAAAGGTACAAGGCTCTGACTGGGGGGTCACAGTAGCATCTTGACTTTTTTTACCCCTTCTATGGATGTCCCTGCCTAAAAGAATTTCAGAATGTACAGTACATATACTGAGAGACATATGGCCAAATCCATAATTTTCTAAGGCAACAGAGATGCTCACGTGCAGGATAATACCTGTTGTTCACTCAAGGAGGAATTTTGTGGATGCTTGTGGACAGTTTCCTTTCTTTTCAGTTTACTGATTTTTATTAATGCCTTGTTCTTTTCTTACTTTCTTTTTCTTTTTTCTTTTTTTAATTTTTGCTAGCTGCCTTTAAGGTTTCTGGATTTAAAAGTACTTCGAATGAAGGAAGAACACCAGCAATATTTCCTGTTACAATTGTTGAAAATCAAAACCATGCAGTCTCCATTTCTACAGTATTGTCTTTGCTCAGACTGTTCAGAATATTAACAGGAAGGAATATTAGCAAAACTATTGGAAGACCTGAAAGACCAGGTTAGGGGCAGATTGTTATGGAGAAAATCTATCTAAGTCGACAGCGACTTGGATCAATGGATCAATATGTGCAAGGTGTTGTAGTAGATATAATGGGTTTGTTTAATGCAGGCTTTGGGTCAAGGACATGGCAGTATGGCAGGTGTTCTTCTGGGGCCTTTGAGATGACCAGCCTAGAATATATAACTGTGGCTGGAGTTAAATTATTTAGGACCTTCCCCTCCAGCAGTCCCTAATGAGGGACTGAGGGTTCAACCAGTGACCGGATACGTTCAACCAGATTCAGTTGACTGCAATTGTTATCAGATGCAGTCAAACCGTATGAATTCATTTCACTGCTTCATCTAAACGTTAATCAAACTATCATCCTTTTCTGTTTTCGGATCTTCCTTTTTAGCTAGCAGTGTCTGCATTTTGCAACCAAGAGCAACATGGAGAACACTGGTTTGTGATTCTTTTCCAACTCCAAAGAGCAGGTCCTACTTACCATTGAATGAAATACTATGCTGGCAGAAACCTTTCAGTTTTAGCCCAAAGTGGGAATCTCATCTTTAGATTAACTTTTACCATTTATTGATGGAGCTACCTCTTCTAAAGTTAGGGACTTAACCTGTCCCTAACTTTACTTTCTCTTATACAAAAGTCATTTACATATACACTTTTTATTACAATGGCTGAGGAAATGTACTAATAGATTCCAGATATGTTCACAGAAACAGGAGAGGTATTTATGTTAGATTACATGAACATTCAGATTTAACCATTATCATCAAAATTATATGATGGTGAATCTATTAGATTTATGGCAGCACAGAACAGCATTAAACGCTGTTAAAACTGCCAGTAAAAAGAACATGCAAAAAGAATTACATACTGCACTTTTACCAAAACCCACAAATCAATATATAATAGCAAGCAAATTAACATTTGTTTGTTTGTTTATTACTAGATTTTTATCTCACCTTTATTTCAGTTGAATTGAAATAGCATACACGCCTAATATATGAGAGACAGTTTGGTGTAGTGGTTAAAGTGCTGGCCTAAAAACCAGGAGACCATGAGTTCTAGGCCTCCATTAGGCGTGCAAGCCGGCGGGGTGACTTTGAGACAGTCACTCTCCCTCAGCCCAACCCACCTCACAAGGTTTATATATATAAAAAGGCGGGACAAAATTCTAATAATAATGTTCCCAACTCCTATTTTCCCCACATTGTGAGGTGGGCTAGGCTGAGAGAGAGAGACTGGCCCAAAATCACCTAGCCAGCTACTGGTCTATGACTGTAATAAAATAATTCAGATTCACCCAGCCAGCTTTCATGCCAAAGGGAGGATTAGAACTCACCATCTCCTGCTTTCTAGCCAAACACCTTAGCCACTACACCAAACTGGTTCTCCTAATAAAACTTTCTATCTATCTATCTATCTATCTATCTATCTATCTATCTATCTATCTATCTATCTATCTATCTATCTATCTTGAGATGGCACAGAAAGAGTCACCAAAGACCCTCTAGAAGAATATAGTCTTCACTGTGTTCCAGAAAGCCATCTTCTAGAAGG